TGTTAATAAATAAATAAATAACTTCAATAGCTCTTTTCTATCATAAAATGCAAAGGGTTTTCCAAACATAAAATAAAGATCCTGTGATGTAGGCTTCATATTTCAGTTTTACAGTGGCAGAGGGTTACCATAGGGCATGCGTAGATGAAACAAGAGGCGTGCACGACATTTTAAAGTGGGCTAAATGCTTTTGCACTGCTTTAATGGTGTTGGTGTTTGCATGCCTTGGTGGTGTATTGTACATTAATTCCAGCTGCTGTAGGAAATTCGGTGGCATAATGAGCCTTAAATGACTTGGGGCGCAGCAAACTAAAACTCCCTATAGCCGTGGAGTGAAGCACCAGGCTCCATGCAGCTCCACAGCTCTGTAGGAAGCCCTGCAGGCAGCCTGGCAGCAGCCCGGGAAGGCAGGCTCTGCCCAAGAAAAGTGGTGAGCCTGATATTTTTTTTCCTCCCCTGGAGCCTGCCTGCCTGCCTGAGCTGTGCGGGGGTCCATGCTTCCCTCCATATCTGCGGTGCCTCCCGGGCCTGCTCGAGCTGGGTGCCTGTGGGCAGGTGCTCCCTGTGGGGGACTGCAGCTGCTATGGAGGGAAGCACCAGCACCCCCCCCCCCCCCCGCCCCGGGCCCCCTCCCCCCCGCCAGCAGCTCACCCTCCCCTCCCTGCTGGAGAGGCAGGTAAGTCAGTGGGGTTTGTGCACGACATGGGGGTTTAATCAGCCCTAAATTGAAGCGGTGTTTTTTAAAACCCACCACTTCAGTTTAGGGCCCCCTGCTTCGTCTACACATGCCCATAGAGTGTACTGGGGAAGCAAACAGTAAGTTCAAAGCATGCTGCATGATAGCAGAGGTGAAAGTATTTTGATCTATAATTGGGATGTCAAACTCCTTTGGCTCTCAGGTTGGATCCAGACTGCAGGGGTCCTCATGGACCAAATTCAGACCCAGACCCAGATCCATCTCCAGTGGCAAGGTAAGAGGTAGCAACATAACTGCTATACGTTCCAAAGAGTAAGGATTAAAGCACTTATTGCTTACCCTTCTGCCACTAGCATATATTCACAACAGGGCTTCATACACCACCATTGCAGTGGGCTACACCACCATTCACCCTGTCCCTGATTTTTCTGTCCCCTTCAGGAGCCCTGTGGGCTGACTGATATAGTTCCCCCAGCTGGACACTGGGTTCCTTACAAGCATTGCAGGATCTTTAGTGTCAATGTAGACAAGCAGTCTCTCAACTTCTGGTCCCTCAGTCAATCTTTTCCCTGAAGTTAGCCATGGTTTCAATTTTTCTGTTTTAGAAGGACAATAGGCTACATTATTCTTGCCTGGATTCAAACTTTTGATTCTAGCAAGTCTGGATATTTTAAACCCGATGCTTAAGTTAATCCATCAGCTTCTCTGTAAAACAATTCCTTTAATGAGTAACTTTTACTCCTGAGTTTCAATTAAACAGATGGTGTTTTAAATTAAAGGCTCTCAAATCACAAATGGCAAATTATTCATATACTGTAGTAGTTTTGGTATTTCCATAATTATTTCAAGATTACAAGGCTGATGCTCTAGAGCAGGGGTGACTGGTGCCTCCTGAGTCTGGGGGGGCACAATTACAGACCAGAAACTACAGACTGGAAGCCATTGGCCTGGCAAACTGTGGACCACTGGCCAGAACACAGGTAAAGCTACCTCCACCCCCTGGGCAGGGGGGTGGGCCCAAACCGTGGCTGCTGCGGGCCCTGCATGGCCTCTCCAGAGCCTGGCTCTGCGGAGCTGTGGTTTGCCATCCTGAGCAGTGCCAAGTTGGGGGCCAATCTCAAGGGGGGCATGTGCCCCGCCCTGTGTTCCCCCTACCAGTCGCCTGTGTTTGAGAGAGTAGCCAAATTCACCCCTGATGGAAGCAGGCATAGCCAGTGGAGTTGCGACTAGTTCCATCAGAATTGAATTTGATTCCATGTTCCTAGTGATTCAAGTCAGATGTGAATGCATGACTAGAACCCACCAATTATGCTGCACCGGGGGGGGGGGGGGGGAGTTTCACACCTGTTACTACCTTATGACCTGCACCTTCAAATGGCTGTTGACTTTAATAGCATATTTGATTCCGCTGCTGTGGGTGCATCTACACAAGCAATTAATGTGAAGCAAGAAACTCCAAAGTTTTTTGCTTTGGAGTTTATTGCTCCCAGGTGTGCCATTTGAATGTGCACCTAGGACCACAGCATGTTGAACCAGGTCAGAGAAGCCTTACCGCCAAGGGACCCAGGGGGTCAGCCTGCCAGCCTAGGGCTGCTCCCTGCGGGCTCAATGTGCTGTGGAGGGGCTGCCTGGGGCACAACGGTGCTCCAGTATGGGGCTAGCTGGCAGACAGCCCTCAAACGGAAGCATTCTTGTGCTCCAGCCAACCACATCAGTATCTACATGTGCTTTGCTGCAGAGCAAGCAAAATAACTATCTTGCCGTAGAGTTCATTAGTTTACTCCAGCCTACTTGTCCTGCATGTGTAGATGCCAGTATGTTTACGGAAGAGCTAATTAGTCAAGTGCAGTGAACGTTTCATGTAGACACACCCTGTGTGTCTCTATTTGCAAATGAAAATCCATATGAGATGGCAGTGGAGATTAGGCCAATAGTGCAATGCAATCAGTGCAGTGACCAATGCCCCATCCATAGGGAAGCCATTCAATTTTGTGTTTTCTTTCTGTTATTGGTGTGTGGGATTCTCTATTCTCTGAACATGTTACATTCGAGGAAGAGTGCACAATGGATGAGGCAAAACTCTTTGCAGAGGACTCTTTGAGAGCTTTAACCAACTTCAGAATGAATAATACTAGCAGAGGCATACATGAAATTGGGTCTGAAAGGAGGACATATTAGACCAGCTTGACAGTGCTGGGGCAAAAATGGATGCAATCAGTCCAATTTAGTCATATTTTGATTTAGTTTGAGACTATAATTCTGCCTGGAAATATAAAATTTCCAAACACAGCTGATGATTTGTAAGCTGTGCTTTTAATATATAGCCTTCTGCCCGTTATTGTCTTTCAGTGATGGAATGCTCTGCTTTGTCTTTGAGCACATGCACATCTATTTTTTCAAGTAAAGGATAAAAGTGGCTAGTAAGAAATTATTATAGTGCAAAATGGATGCACTGTGAGGGACTGAGGGACAGATTTTGAAGTTTTTTAGGTGCCTACCTCCTACAGAAATCAATGCATACATGTTGATGATAAACAATAATTAGTTGCCTAAATAATTTTTCAAAAGCTGGCCTTAAGTTAATTAGAAAACAAATTTGGCAGTATTTTACTACAATCCCCAGGAAGAGAAGACTGTTAGTATGCCCACAGTAATGCTTAGCATTTTTTGTTCAGAAAGGGCTTGATAAACATTAATCATCTCAACATCCCCTGTATGTTAGACAAGTCAGTATAATCATCCCTATTTGGCAAACAGGGAAACACTCTTCTTTGAACTTAATATGTTCATAGAATAGAGAAGCCCACATAGCAAGAACAAAAGAAAACACAGTATTTAATGTCTTTTCCTTTGAGTGAGCCACTGTACATTGCACTCATGGCCTACTCTCCACTACACCTCACATAGATTTTAATTAACAAATAGAAATGCACAGCATCTGAATCAGATATGCTATTAAACATTAACAGCCATTTGAGGGTGCTGGTCATAAAGCAGTAATGAGTCCTTTCACTAATAACAATATAAAACCACTAACTTCGCTTCAGCTGGGCTACTGGGAGCACAGTTTTGGCTCATTAGGGTAAGTGATTTGCCTAAGACTTCAGGAGGAGGCAGTTTCACAGCCAGAGTTAGAATCTGGAGATTTGTGTGAGCTCAGTCATACTCCCAAACCTCTAAACCATGCGTTCCTCTTCGGATAAATCTTCTGTTCACAAACCTAAACGATTGTCCTTCTGACTTTCTGATACTTAGAACAGTTCTTCTGTGCATAGGGAAATAGCTGCATTCTTAAAATTATGACTAAGGCTCTAAGCAAATTCCATACAGCATACAGACAAACATGATGTATCTCTGTAGTTAGAAAAAGGAGCTGTTTCCCATGTGCATATAAATCTAGGCAGTTTTGTTTGCAGCTCCTTAAATGCCAGTGGACCATCATTTGTTTTCACTTTGAATCAGGAATAAAATGTACAGACCCAGTCTATCTCTCATTGATACTGTGCATTTTTTTCCATTAAGGTTTGAATAAGTCTTCCAGGAATGAGGTTCTCATTTTCGTTGTCAAGTCCATTGTGCTTTTGGAAACTATACATGATACAAAGCTCCCTATTTTATTTGGATTTTTTCATAGTTTCCTTAATTTCATAAATTGGCCACATATTTACTCTTACATTTCAGACAACCTGGACTTCTGATGCCTGGTGACACACTACCATTTGGAGGTTATTCAGCAATATTACAGTACACAATACTTGCTTCCGGGTCAGTGTTTAATTTCTATCTCATGGATTTGTGTGCATTCCTCTTTATTCCCTCTTTCCTGTTCTCTTTTACACACCCACACATATCTATAAGGCACAAGAAAGGTTTGAGGTAATACCTGCAGGATACCAATGTTTCTGAATTGGCTGGTGATTATTTTGACTAAACCACAGTTCTCAAGGGAAAATAAACTGCAATTGCTTAGACCTAAAGCATAGGGTATTTTTGTCAGAAACCATTTTAACCCTAAGGAAATATAAGTTCTGCACACTCACTTCTCATCTACTATCTTTCAATCATAGTAGTATACAAGTATATTGGAAAAGCAAAGTGCTTATGATTATATCTGCTTTTATAAGTTTAACTATAATCATCAGACTAGAAACAGAGCGCACAAGTCATTTTATCTACATTATTTGTAGCCAATCTCTCTCTTTCAGAGCATATGAGTGCTTCTGACCTAGTTAAACCCCTGCTATTTTGAAAATGATTAATAAAAAAACCCCACATCAATACTCCTTTGAGTCTGCACACTCACTTGTTGCCCGGTAACCAGAAGGATAGAGCCTTCTTTCCCATGTACCACTTGCCGATAAATGTGATCTAGTATTAAGAGTTCACTCCAGCAATTCTGAAGCAACTTCATTTGGTCATCAACCTGTAAAACAAACATAAACATTGTTAACATTACTTTGGTAGTAATTCTTACTTCGTTCTGATTGCAGAGGCTGCTGATGGCAAATTGGGTAGAATTTAACCTACTTTAGTTGTCTGGTTACTTTAGTTTAATTTACTTAATTTAGTTTAGTTAATTTAACCTACTCTAGATGTCACAGATATGCAGATTTAATGTTATCAGGACTGAAGTGATATCAATAATTATTGGTGTTAGAACACCAATCTTAACTGAATATATAGGTCTTTGTCAATAAATGACATAATCTATGGTCAAGTAAAATATTTACAACTAATTAATTGTCAAAAATGTGATCCATGGCATTGGTGTAAGGAGTACTGACAACAGTGTATGGGGTAGAACATCAAGTGACCAAGGTACTTATTAGTAGGTGCTTATATCAGAAGAATAGGAGTAATTTACAAAGCAGTTCCTTTGTAAACTGCTTTGAAATCTACAAAAAAGAGCTCTCTTTAAGCATTAAGTATTTTTATATGTTTATTAAATTATCAGAGTGACATTCTTTCAAACTTAAACTATAGCTGTGAACCACAAATACTGAATAACTGAAATTAAGATACGTTCTTCAGGAAGCAATTAAAAAAGAGATGGTCCAACAGCGAAATCTTATTTATGTACAAAACAGGCACAGCAAAGACTATGCCACTTCTCCATACTCCTGCCGCTAAGCCTCACCTTTGAAAAGTACTGTGGAAATGGAAGAAAAATATCAAAAGTACAAATGCTTTGACAAGCCCAAGTCAAGGATTAGCCCCTTTATAAGCAAAAAGCTGAGGAATAATAAAATATGTTAAGACATAAGAATAAGAAAATGGTGGTGAAAAAGGAAGGATAGCTCCTTTCCTATACATTAGAAGTAAAATGAAGCAGGGTGGTCACAGGCATCATGTTCAGGAAAGAAAATGCTGAGTATAGGCAGTGATCACAGAATGCGTATCAGTAAGGAATTATTGCATTTGACAATAGCAGAAATGTACCTGATATTAGTACTAATTGGATCCATCTACATGTGTGCTTTACTGCAAAGTAGACTAATTAGTTCTGCATTAAAGTGTAACAGTCTACATGTGTGCTGGTATTAGGGCGTAGTAAACTAATTCACTCCACTGTAGCATAGTACTGTTGAGCACAGTACTATCTTATGGCAGAGTGCTTTATTGCTCCAAAACACATGTGTAGATGGATGACTGGGGGCAGAAATTGTGTCTGGTCAACTTATGCAGCAGAGGACCAGACCTCTACCTGCCACCTAATCACATTGCCAAACATGCAGAACCATCTCATACCCCAGCCAGCTCCTCTGCCACCCAATACTGCCGTCCGGGCAAGGGACAGACATTACACACACTGGTTTAAGTGATCAGAAACTGGTTTAAACCTGTAACAGAATAGATGTTCAATGCATATAAACCAGTTTGAAAATGGCTGAAACTGGTTTGAGATAAACCTGGTTGAAGTAGTATCAGACTTAACTAATTTGGCTCAAACCAGCTTATGCAATGTCTGTCCCAGACCCCTTGCTGTTTTAAGATAAAACAGAGTCCCTCAGCATCCTGGTATGCTCTCTGGGCTGGGCAGGGCTCTCTGCTCCATAGCAGGGCTGGCTCCTCCCCTCCACTCCCTGGCTGGAGCTCAGCACAGATTTACAGGCACAGCAGGGTCTGCTGGCTTCCCTGTGCCTCCCTCTCCTCCTCCTCTCACCACTCACTGCTTAAGCAGAGATTTCCCTCCTCCTCTCTGCTACAGCAGGGACCGTAGCCAGCATGTGGTATGCTAGCTAAGGTGTCTGTGTGTGTGTCTCTCCAATTTCACTGGGATAGGCGACAGAACAATGACCGTTTAGGGCTTTTGGAGCTAACCAACAGGTCTGCCGGTAAGCTGTTTAAGAAGTTTGAAGTAACATGGATAGAGGCTATTGTTTTGCTAATCGGGTGATAAAGACTGTTATCAGCTCCTCCCCCTCGGCTGGTTTGCTCGCCTGTTAGTTTGCTGCAGACAGTATGACAAACCAGGGAGGGAGTTTGCAAAGCTCCATATCATTAACAGATGCCTGTACTGAATACCAGGCTGGGTGCTAGTAATACCCCTGCCCCTTGAGCAGCCAGTGGGGGAAAGCGTAGAAGCCTGCAGGCAGACCTCCCTAATAAGAGACTCCCGCTGGGGCCTGGCCACACCCCCCTTAGCTCAGCTCCCTGCAGAAGGGAAGGAAGGGATGCTCTAGCACCCCCCAGCTTCTAGCCTGAGCCACTGCAGGCATGTGCTTGTATTTCCTTAGTCCAGAGAGAATGTCTGTCCAGTTTCAAACCAGTTCAGCCGAGTCAGGTAAGACTAACCTGCAAAGGTTGAATCAATACAGGCTCAGGCTTTTTGAATGTCTGTCCCTAGCCCTGGAGCTCAGAGCTTATTCCCTTCCCCTTTCCCACCCCCACTCCCAGCCTGTTGCCAGCCTAGGTCTGCTCTACCCCAGCTCAAAGTGCTGCTGTCCCAGGCACGTGTAGAGGCTGCACCCAGAAATAGTATACTCTACCTCAAAGTGCTCTGGAGTTTATCGCTTTGTATTAATTGCACATGTAGATGCACCCTCCCAGAATACTGCTTAAACATTGAAATAATTATGAAAAATATAATCTAAGATTTGAATATGATTTAGAAGACAGATTAGAAGAAGTTGAGATTAATGGAGACATGATTATCCCTCTTCTTTAAGAGAAGCGAAAGCACACAAAAGTAAGGATATATTTTATATAAAATCTGTTTCAATGATTAGAGAAGATAAACAGTGCTAGATTGAATCTAAAGAGTATTTGTATACTGAGGGAAAGATGTTTAAAAATATATTGCTAAAGTTAGGCACTTAGATTCTTATTCAGGCAACAGCATAAAAGGCTTAGTTTTAAAAAAGTGATGAGTACTTGAAATCAGTGGGAACTGATGCAGTGAAAGACAGTTGAGGGCTGTATTCTTTCTAAACATTAGTTCACTTGGCATAAAGTATATAAGCCAAATAAGGAGGGGCATGAGTTTATAATGTGAACATGTTACAGAAAAAAACTTTGAAAAAAAAATCTGATCATGGCTGCTGCTATTCCTTTACTTTAATTTCTATCCTTAGATCAAAATTAAGAGGAAATAATTGCAAAACATCTAAAAATTAATTCAAGTAGATTTGATATTGCTCTTAATGCTGAATAAATAGAAGTATACTTCATACAACTGCAATTCAAATGATGCTAAGGGCCTAATCTAGTTTACTAAAGTAAAAGTTCAGATATTAGGGAACAATGAATTTGATACAGTTCAGTTCAGGTATTAGAGAATAGCAAGTTAGATGCAGGTTTAAAATCTGGTAGGGCTGCAAGCAAACGATTTGCAGTAAGACACTGGTGCAATGCAATTTAGACTGTGCATGTAGAGTCATCATATCACACAAGGAGGCTTTGGAAAGTCTCTCAATAAAGCTGGGAGATGGCTGTACCCAGAATATAATGTTCAGTTCTGTTCAATTTTTTATAAAGAAATTGTGGGTGAATCAAAAGCAGCACACACATTAATAGGGAGGTGGAGGGTTTGACTTTTATAGAATGATTAATAGACTGACTCTACTGCCTTACTATAAACAGCATTTTGTTGAAATCCAATGGAGCTTTGCTTGTTTAGAAGACTTTTAAGGAAGATTTTTCAGAGTTAAGGATGATATATTTAGTAACTCTGATAAGAAAAAAATGGAAGTAGAGGAAGATATGATTATGGTATACAGATATATAGTTTTCAAACTCCATTGGTAGACAGTAGTTGTCGAGAATAAAATGTTTATAATTGGGAGAAAAAAATGAAAATAGAGAAAGAAAAAATTAAGTTGAACATTAAGCTGTGACATCTTTAAAGGGAAGAGTTGGATACCCCATCATTTGATACCTTTCAAAGTAGACTGTGAAAAACACTAGAAAATGTATTTTATACAACAATCCTACATAGGCAGAGAGCTGACATAAGTTACAAAGTCAAGTACTGAAAAGTTATATAATGTCAGAATTATACAAATCTTAATTGCCACTCCTTGCTAGATACAGACAGACATTCAAAAAGCCTGAGGCAGAATTGATCTTTTACACAGTTTTCTGTAAGCAGCATAGTTTAGATCAGTAGCGTACAGAAGACACATTCACCCTTTGGTCAGGAGGAGGAATGAGGCTGAGGGGGGTGCAAATCTCAGACCGGGTTCCACTGTTTTTAAACTAGTCTATGTGTGCTAAACTTCTGTTCTGTTATGGATATAGACTGGTTCCTGATCGCTTATGCTGGTAAAAGTGTAAAGTCCGTACCTGGCCCTTGTGTCTATAGATTTTGATGGCACGTTTAATGGCATGATCTTCAGTGTCATAAAGAAAGCTACTCTTAGTAGAACTTTTCCTCATTTGTTACAGAAGCTGGAAGGTGTGGAGAGAATGGGGTAGGGGACTGCAAGAAGAGAAAGCAAGGTCTCATGATTAAGATATTGAATACTGCTGAGTCCTTGGATGCCTGACTTGAGAACCAGGGTACTTATTTGCAAAAGACAAAATACAGTTGCAACTGAAGTCAGTAGGAACTTTACTAGGAATGTATATGTTATTATATAATGCTTAGGATTCTAAAAAAACATTTATATTGGGAATTGTACTTTCAATATGCTTTAATTTCCTACCCATAAAACTGGGGAAATAACAGGGGTATTGTGAAAATAAATTAATTAGTATTTGTGAAGACCTCAGATGCTCCGGTGAGGAGCACCATTGAAAAAGCCTGGGAGGAAATTAACAAACCTGTCTTGAAAGAAGGTTTTGAATAATAATATACAGCAAGGCATGATTCACACATTGAACAGAGGAAAAAAACCCTGAATTCTTGCTTATTCAGTGAGCACCATTCATTTTTTCTGCATGCTAAATGAGACAGAGGTTCTATGGGAAAGACAGTACACA